TTAGTGAAAGGGTGGTAACGACAAGCAAGATTTTCATTGTTTTATATAAATTAACAAGTTTTCTTAAAAAAACTTAAACAGTAACTTTATATATAAAAGCTTATAAATTTAGTTAGCTTTTTGCATAAAAGTTATGATTTAAAAATTCATATTGTTTAAAAAAAATTTCAGTATAGTGATTTAAAATTAGGTATAGACTACCAGCACCAACTAATAAAATTATTTCACGTGATAATGACTTAGAGACCTACTGTAATAACTGACTTTGGATCGAATTTTTTTTATACGTAATTGTTATTTTTTTGTGCATTTGCACATCTCCATTGTTAATTTTAACACTGCTTGGGTTCATTAGTTTTTAACCAAATATTAACCTTTATGAAAAAGTTTAACTACTGTATATATTAGAACCTAATCAATCAATCTTTAGGTGTCCTGTTATATTTTAACGGTAAAATCAACATTTTAGTATTTTCAGGTCGATAAAAAATTTTCGAATCAAAAGTACTTTCGAGAATATTATTTTAAAAAGTCTAATACGTAAAGATGAAACGATAATTTCACTCACGGATTTAATTAATTAATTATGTAATTAATATTACAGTAAAAAGATCAACGTACAAAATGCCGAATGCCGATACCTGATACCGATAACGATAATTTTTTGATCAACACACGTGAGTATTGGTTTTTAACGTTAATTGGAGCTAAATTATTATTAATTTAAATTCATTTATCATTACCGTTACGTATTTGTCATTATACGTATACTGTAATTATTTCTTATTATTTCTTTATTAACTAGAAACGTTGTTCAATAAAAAAATATATACCTTCATTAAAAATAGAATTAGCACAAAATCCTTTTTTCTAAAAATTATATTCCAATATCCACTATCCTAAAAAGTCATTGAAGTAATGGAAAAGGCAGTTCGCAAGGCAACAAAACCCAAGCGTGCTGCTCCAAAAGCAAAATATCTAAAAGGTATTATAGAAAATGGCGCAATTATATAGATCTGGTTTGATTTACCTGAATACTTAAATAGATTTCATTATTCTTTCTTTTCTAGTATTAATAGAAGCAACTTCGGATGAATCTGCTTTAGGGTCGGCACTAAAGCATCTTAATCATCGTCTAAAGGAACACAGCTGGACAGTAAGCTCTCACCTTTTAATCTTACTTGTTTCTTAATTTTCTCCCATTTTTCATTAATTATTTTGTATTATTTTTTTTTTTCATAAAATTTACAAGGTTGTTTTCAAAAGTCTTATTGTTATTCATGTTTTAATGAGACAAGGCGTAAATGCTCGTGTTTTAAATTATTTGGTGAGAGATCCAACAATTTTAAATGTATCAAGTTTTAAAGATAAGTCAGGTACTCAAGGTATATATATATCCTAGTGTAATTCATTCTCAATGAAGCATTGGTGCAATTATCATTAACTACTTTTATTAACCATTGTAGGTTCTGAGCAAACTAAAAATATTCATACATATGCCGCGTACATTGAAGAAAAAGTAGCTGTATACCGAGACTTAAAAGTCGATTTTGTCAGAGAAAAATTAGATAATGGCGAAGGCCGATTAAGAAAGCTCTCAGTTGAAAAGGGACTTCTACGAGAAGTTGAAATACTTCAACGTCAAATAGCAGCTTTACTAAATTGCAAGGTTTTTTGACTAGAAAATATATATATATATATAGTATACAGTCAACTCTCTCTAAGTTGTGAATCTTGTTAAATTGAACGTTCAACAAACTTTGTTTAACCTGAATTTTAAAATTTTATCATAAAGTTCAAATTATATACGTTTGTAAATTGAATAAGCCAAGGGTTCAATTTGAGAGAGAACTAGCTGTATTTTTATTTAATACTCTAAACTTTACAAACTTATTTGAAATGATTTCCATTAGTTCTTTATAGATGAAGTAGATAACGAAGTAACGTTGACAGCATTTCGACTCCTTGTTGAGGATTTACTTACACTATTCCAAGCTATTAATGAGGGAGTCATCAACGTTCTAGGTAATTAGATGATATTAATTATTACATTTGAATTAATTATTAATAAATTAATCATTAATATATATATTTTTTTAACCTTATAACCATTCCAATGTAGAACATTATATTGAAATGTCACGGATTAACGCTAAAACTTCACTACAGATTTATAAAAAGTATGTTCAACAGACTGAAAAAGTCGTTGATTTTCTTAGCATAGCAAAAAGAATGCAAGCTGCTCTTAGAATGAGCGTTCCAAACCTAAAACATGTGAGCCATCCCTTTAGTTATTCATATATGCAGTCATTATTAAACGTGGATATAATTATCTGAGATCAATTATCGATAGGCTCCTACATCTCTAACAGCTACTCTAGAAGATTATGTTAATGATCCAGACTTCGAGGAAAACAGAAGGCAATATAATGAAAATAAGGGTTCAAAACAGGTTAAACAAACTGTTGATAACAAAACCTCATCGAATAGCACTCCTAAAAATACTGTAAAAAGTAAATTAATAATTTTATTACTATAATATATTTATTATTATTTATAATTATAATAACAAAAAATTTATAATTTCATTTAATAGGTGTAGATCCCTCTGTTCTTTCAATCGTTACAAACGTTACCAAAACATCTTCAAAAGAAAAAGAATTTATTGATTTCTTCTCAAGTATAGAACAAGAACAAACTTTGATTTTTGGACCGCTTCAAACGTATTCTCCCACAAATACGTTAAGTCGCAGCGTTACCAACCCATTTATAGGGATTCAAAATCAACACATAACCGAATTTTCTTCACAACCTCAGATAGTTCAATCACCAGTTACTTCTCATGATACTAATCCATTTCGATTTACCATTATCGGTCAAGATGTGTCCACTAATAGATCTTCTACCATGTTTGGTCAAGATATGTCCTCTAATAGAGCTTCAATTTTGCCATCTGTGCAGCAAAACCCATTCCAATCTTCTATACCTATTTCGTCTTATAGTAATCCATTCACTTCTATGAATACTATTCAATCTCCACAATTATCTCAACAATTATCCCCACAATTATCTCCACAATCTATGCAAATAACTCCAATTCAATCCAATACTACTTTAGATAGTAACCCGTTTAGAAGGTCTATGCTTCCAACTACATTTAACCCTTTTCCTCAATCAATGCCTCAAGGGCCTCCTATTAATTATCAGATTGATC